GAGAGCCCTGCAAGCCAGGGTGATGCACCACACTGGTGCATGAATTTGTGCACCGGGCCTCTAGTGAAAGATAAACATGCAAACCTGGTCTCCGTTCTTCAGTTCTGTCAGCATGACGATGACTTTGACTTTCCTCTGGAAGACCATCTGCCAGAAGTCCCCGATGGTGTCCTTGAGGGGCCCTTGAGCCGCAATCATCACTTCAGGTTTCCAGTAACTCTAAAAAAAAAAGTGGGGGCTCCGTTACTAACTGACAAGAGCCGTGGGTTCTGAAAACAACCATTTAGAAACACAGCCGCTTGCTACGTATATCAATGCTGCGACGTAAAAATAGTGAGACTCTCAGGCCCATGACATAATGTGATATCTACACGCAAAAGACCTATTAGCGAAAGATGATACTGAGCTGAGCATGTACGGTCGGGTTCGGAACATCCCTCACAAAACTAACCAGTTATCCCTTCTCAAAATGCCTTGTGTTTTTTTTTCTAAAAAGGTTACTGCGATTGTAAAAGGAAATCGCATAAGCGTTTCACAGGATCTTCGTTATGTCTCTACTATATTGGTGTCTACACAGTCTTCAGGTGGCTCGCCATTAAGTTAATAGTCTACCAACGGGCTTTAGGAAAATTTGGGAAGGAAGTTAAGTCCAACTTAGTAGATATTCCAAAGACAACTTGCAAGGTTTCAATATCGCTAGGTCTTGCAATAAGTTAAAATATAGTATTAAAAATGGAAAGTTTCATGTCCATCAACGTATCATTGTGGCTAAGCTCATCATTCTTTTATAAAATCCCTTAAGGCCCGGCCGGCGTGGCTCAGTGGTTGAGCATCGACCTATGAACCAGGAGGTCAGGGTTCGATTCCCGGTCAGGGCACAGGCCCGGGTAGTGGGCTCCAACCCCAGTAGGGAGCGTGCGGGAGGCAGCCGACCAATATTCTCTCTATCATTGATGTTTCTATCTTTCTCTCCCTTTCCTTTCCTCTCTGAAATCAATAAAAATCTATTTAAAACATAAATAAATGAGAATGGCCATAATAACATCGATTGACTGTTTAAAGGGCCAGACTCTGGGCTCTGGAGACGGGGGCACCTACCATTACGAACGAGGCATTGATGTATCTGCCCGCGTCCTCTGTGTCGCTGTCATCGTCCGAGGACTCGTCCGACTCGTGCTCGCTCTCCTTGCTCACGTCCAGCTCATGCCTCAGCTGCACTCTGTTGAAGTCGTCTGCGCACGAGAAATTAGGGGTAAGTCTCCCTTCAAACTGTCGCCTCTCTGCTTGGCGGCCACGTGGAATCGGAAAGCAATTGAGGAGTGACAGGCCGCCTGATGTCAATGTGTTGACCGACATGGATTGAGATCTGACATAAAACTCAGTTCTTATCGATCAGCAAATCACCAAACAGAAATCTTAGGAAGAGAAGGCCCCCAACGGGTTCCAGGCAACATACCTGGGACATAGTTCAAGGTTAAACCACACACAGAGGTCATAACGTCCCATGTGATCACTCAGTCTTAACGCCTACACCTGAGTTTTCCATGGGACATTAGCATTTGCTTGATATAAATTAAAAAATACAAAAATACGATAATAAAATACATGGCTTAGGGGAAAACCTATTTTTTTCTATTGTATTCTATTAACAAGTCATTAACATGTCAATGGAATGAGTATCTCCAGTAAATTATTATATAATAAAAAAATTAGTTCTAATTCCTCAGTTTCTCAGTGGAAAAAAAAAAAAATCAATGACCCGATCAAATGATCTGATGACCGACATCCCCATCCATTTCATATTTTCCACGGCATTCACAAAGAATTTTCCAGAAATGAACTAGGCCAATCCTGCACTGATCTGACGTATTTGGTCTTCTAGTTTATTAGCTGGGGTTATATTTTCTCCGGGTTAGTTTTTAAAAATGATTTTATTATGGACAGTATTACAGATGTCCCCCACTTCCCCGCCCCATTATTTATTGTTGATAGTATTACAGGTATCTCCCGTTTTCCCCCTCCACCCCTCTCCTCCCGGTCCCTACCCATCCCCCCAGGTCTTCACTATCCTATTGCCTGTGTCCATGGGCTGTGCATATAAGTATACATGTTCCTTGGTTTATTATTTTAGTATATTTAACTGAATAAAATTATAGCCTTCCCAGATGTGGTGCTAGCACAATGCTTGCAGAGTGGAATTCAGGTCCTGAAATCTGTGCGTAGTTTGATCTGCGAAACGGAAGGATCGGCAGTTGACAGGGCGCTACCCACCCCCAGCGAGAAGGAGGGAGAAAAAACAAGTGATCCTCGCTCGTGGCCGGTTACCCTCGGGGGAACAGCGGAGATGAACGGAAGGTGAGACAGACCCAGAGGAGAAGGTGGCCCCCGTTCCCCTCCAGCGTGAGAGGTGACACCTCCCCGACACCCCACTTCCAAGACAATCGGTGGGAAGAAAGCTGTGGGCACAGTTGACCCCCCGAAAGTCCATCACGAACGTCTGGGGTTCAGAGTCGTTGCTAGACCTTCGCTTTAAATAGCCTGTTGACCAGTGTGCATGTGTGTGCGTGTGCGTGTGTGTGCGAGTATGTGCGCGTGTGTCATCCACCAATCAAATCCCAAAGAGCTTACGAGTCTCTGACACAAAGAAGACGACGACATGAGCCACCTACACGGGATGACGGAGGACGCCCTGTTTTTGCTCTTGTTCTCCTCCCGGTTCCCAGCGTGCTGTGTCCTCCAGCTCCGGTACGACGGGAGTCTCTGTGGGAACCAAACAGAAGTGGTGGGCGCTGCGGCCTCGGTCCCGGAGACACCACGAACCAGGCGCCTGTCTCAAGGCGAGATGCTCGTGGCCTTGGCAGCCAAAGTTGTGCTTCTCTACTGTTACTTTTTAAAAATATATATATTTTTTTTATTGATTCTAGAGCGGGACTGGAATCGAACCCGGGACCCTTCAGTCCACAGGCCGATGGTCATCATCACCGTTATCACTGTCATCATCACCATCATCATCACCATCTCCGTTATCACTGTCTGTACCTGGAACTCAGCCTCCAGCGGGGAAGGCTCGCTGGGCGGGTCCCTCTTCTTCATGTTCGACAGGTAGGGGTGGAATTCGGACAGGCTCACTTCCGTTTCTCCAAACTGGTTGTATTCGACCAAGGCCTGGTGGATCAGGATGTACTGTGCCTACGGTTTCACGGACAAACACAGGTCACGAGTGAATCTACGGCCTTATCCATCCCATTGAAATAGTTACACTTTCCTCTAACTTGGCTCACGGGGGGGCGGTGGGGGGTGCACGGAAAAGAAAACGTTATCTCTAACATCTAAATATTCTAGAAGTTGTTCTCCTGGTTCTTTGGGATACGAGCACGTTTCATCTCAGACATGTGCCCTGACCAGGAATTGAACCTCGACCTCCTAGCTCCTAGGCTGATGCTCAACCACTGAGCCACGCCGGCTGGCCACAGTATTTGGATCTCTTTAATGATCACCGATCCCACCACCAAAGATGGAGGTCAGGCAGCGAAGGA